GGTTTAAGGTAAATCTTCTTTCATTACAAAGTTTTTATTTTATTGGATTAGGTCCTAATTATTCTAAGGTTCATATTTAACATCACATTTATTTTTTAGACATGGTCAATTCTTAACATTCTGAATAACAAACTAATTATTATGTAATTTTTAATATTTTAATCAAAACCCTAATAGATAATAATAAATTGATTACTATATTCATTTTTCATTTTTAAAATATAAGAAAAAAGTGATTTTACTATTTTTAGAAAAGATGCATAAAAAAATCTTTAGGATGTAGCAATATGCATAAAAATAAAACATATTTTTTTTAATAAATATTTTTTTTAAATAAATATTTTAATACTAAATTTATATTTTATAGTATAAATCTACAACATGATATAATTCGTCTAGATGTAGACAATTCACCTAGCACACAAATAAATTGATATAATTCGTCTAGATGTAGACAATTGACCTAGCACACAAATAAATAAAAAACAATGTGTTTTCAATTTGCAAAAAAATGGTACAATTTTGTTAGAACCTAAACTTTTAGATATGATTAGCTTAAATGAATTTTTATGTAAGGTTAAAGAGAAATTAGTTTTTTTAATTAATTTTTTTAACTTTATTATAATTTTGATAAAAGTAAGATTCCAACCAAAAATTCCAACAAAAAAATTTCTATGATTTTGACTTAAGTAAAAATCCTACTAAGCTAATTTAAGCTTGTCTATTGAAAGGAATTAGTTGGGTAAGAAAAGAAAATAAAAAAAGATGCTAGCACACTGCCTGGGTGGTGGTTGCTTCTTAACCCTTTTTAAAAATATCTCTCGTGCGTGTGTAACCGTAAAGTTTTTAAAAATGCATTTTCTTTAGATATGTTTTTTGAATTTTTTTTAAATTTAAATCAATATTTTTTTCAATTATGAATGATGTTGTTTAAGTATAAATATTGTAATATGCCCTTGCTATTTAAAAAAAAAATACAATACTAATTAAGCCTTATCTACTTGGTAAATTGATCTAAGAAATTTATTATTAAAATTTAGTTTTGAAATTAAATTTTAAAAATATTAATTTAATAAAAATTGATTAATTTTATAAAATTTTTGAAAGTTGGTCGGCTAATTAAGCCATGTCTATACTAACACAAATAAATAAATAAATAAATAAATAAAAATATTATTGTTTTATTGTGGAGAAAATTGAGTTATATTTTGTTTTTTTAGAGTATTTAAGAATATGGTGATAATTTTTTTTAAGTGTTTTTTTTTGTTAAAAAATATATTAAAAAAATAATTTTTTATTTATTAAAAATTATTTTTAATGTCAGAATATTAAAATGATTTGAAAATATAAAAAAAATATTAATTTAAAATAAAAAATAAAAAATATTAAAAAAACACTTTTAAAATGCAAATATTACCAGCCTAATTTTTTTTTTTAATTTATGATTAGTCATGTCTGACCCGAACATTTGGGTGACTTCCGAGTAATTAAATGAGCTGCTGTGGATACTTATGACTCCCTGTCTATATAAACCAAGCTAAGGTGGTTGGGATTCACAAGCAAACGTGATTTCTAGCTAAAAGAAGCGATGTTTTTCCTCACCTTCAACTATTTCGTGATCCTCATCCTCACTGCTGCGGCATTTCTTTTACGACAATATTATTTCTTCTGTGCAGGTTAGTTCTTTGAGATTCATTCAATGACCTGCAAGCATGTATAGTTCTTTCTCAAGTCACAACACAAAATGATTCTTTGTATTAATGCAAAGATGGGATCTTAGTGGTCTCGATCGGGAAGAATATTCTGATAAATAAGCTGCTGCTCCCCTTCTAATTTTATTTTCAAAACCTTGATTTCTTGATATATATGCTGCAAATTAATTAAGCTGTCTTGATATATATTATGGGGTTGATCATGCACTTTGTCTGTAGTCTCAACAGAAGAGCTTTGTAAGAATTCTGATTTAACGGCATCAATTTGCAGATCGAGTGAGCAGGAGGCAAAAAGGAAATGGGAAGCAGGGGGCTCCTTCTCCACCTCCAGCTCCGGAGGCAGAAAACACGAGGCGAGCTTTCCCACCTCTCTACTTGCCTCTCGGACTAAATCACTTTTAATTTAATTAGTTGGCTTCATCATGTTATTACATATAAGCCTCACAGCACAAGCAAATGTATTAGATATTCGATCTTAAATAATAAGATGCGTGTCGGTGCTTAGTTCAATTTACTCCCCTCTTTGATTTCTTTTTTATTTTTCTCCTCCTCTCTCTGTGTTCTTGTCGAGCTATGTATGTACACAGAAACAAAGAGAAGGGCTTCCAAGAGCTCAAGGTTTGGTAGGCAATTTCAGTCTCCAGCTTTCAATGGGTATATGGCAGTGATGATAAAAAAATTAAACAGTATGGGATTTTTAGCCAGTGGTATTTCGAGATATTAGCAACCATCTTGCCCTCTGTATTTTATGGATAAGGGAACTTCGGACGGAATTTTTTGCTCGGACACAGTCGTTTCATTTTCAATGGTAGCGAGGAGAACGATGCCAAGTTCAACCTGAAAAAAGAGGAGGATTAATTCAGGAAAATTCAGCCTCCAATACTTGATTGATTGTAACTGTTTTTGATACCTTTCTCATGTTAAAATTTTAGATACAACCAGAAATATCAACCAATCACATCACAAGTATTTAAATCATAAAAATAGTATATCTACGATGCTGATATTCAGCTAATAATTCAAATTGAAGATCTATTTTTAAATCAAAATACTTGATTGTGAACCAATGAATTAAGAACAAGTCTTAACCTGATTTCATGTATAATTATTATATTTAATACTCAAACTAATCAAACTCAACTGGATTCTACACTCTACTAAATTAAATAATAAGCAATTAATATTAGATTTTTATACAGACAATGAACCAGCCTTGTGCTCTTGACACTGCGCACTTGACAAACTGTAACTGTGAACATTATGGTACCGTCTGTTTACACCGGTCCTTAAGAGCCACACGTCATACTTCAGCATTATGGTACCGTCTGTTTACACCGGTCCCTAAGAGCCACACGTCATACTTCATTAACCATCTTCATCACAAGCCGACATTCATTTTATGGAAGGGGTTATGGTAGTTCTTGACTGTCTCTCCCTCTCTTTTATTCTCTCTTTTTAAAGATTCTGATTTTGATGGTGATACTCGTCTACATATTATTAATTGAATGCAAATAAATTTTGGTTTTTAATTATTTTATTTGTTTGATAAAAAAACAATTGTGGATAGAAAGAATAGAGACATAGACATAACCAAATTAACTTTTTGTTCACAAATGTTTTTTAAAACCATTCATAATTTTAATCTTTATCCTAGTATTTATATTTTGATAATTGATTTTAATTAACTTAATTTTTATTATTAAATCTAAAAATTAACAATTAACACCATAAATATATATATATATATATATATATATATATATATATATGAGAAACATAAATAAGAAAGCAAGAGTAAAAAAAGAGTTCACCATCAAATAAAAATCCTCACATAAAAAGTTCAAAGATACCTCATCCAGATTTTTATTATTGAATTTGAGTGATATGAGAATTTAAATTTTTAGATCTAAAAAGTTTAAGATTAAATCTGTATGTTGTTTAAAAGTGGCTTTTGATGTTAAATTTGTGTTTAAAATATTAAGTGGATTTGTTTTCATGTCTTTTTTATAAAAATAAAATAAAGTTTATCTAGATGATTAATAAGATAACAAAAATCCGTTACTAAAATAAAAAACTGGTAATAGATAGTAAAAAACAATGATAAATGACTTATTCTTTAAATGAATTAAGCATTGCAAATTAATTTTTTTTCTAAGCCAAATGTTTGAGATGCTAGTTTCAAACCTCAATATTTTATGGTTTTTTTTTTAATTTATTCACACACCTATGTGTTTGTTGGGTTTTCAAAGTGATTAGATAATTTTTTTGGTTGAAAATAAGTTTATTGGAGTTTCTATAATGGTTTTGTAGGTATTTTCAAGTGAAAAATAATTGAAAATTAAATGTTTTTATTCAAAAACTAAAATCATGATTTTCCATTCATTTTTAATGATTAAAAAAAGTAACAATAGACAACTTGTGCTCTGTCTAGATGATCATCCGATCAATTAAAAAAATATATAGATAGATAATGTGTTATTTGTTCATATTAAAAAAAAAAAGATACAAAGAGGAAATTAGGCATACATACATGGGCTTTGGCGTTTTAGGTTGGGCTAGCCTCGAGCTATCCTTTTTATATTTTTAAAATTTTTAAATTTGGTTTTCAATTAATATTCTTTTTTATTTTTTATTTTTTTAATTTAAATACTTTTCAAAAATGATAATAGATTTTTTGGATGGTTCTTATAATTTCATAATACAATTAAACTTCTATAAATTAATATCCCTAGGACCATGGAATTTATTAATTTTCTTATAATTTCATAATACAATTATATGTTATTTAAACTTTAAATTTAAGTTAGGATCAAACAAAAATATTATTTGATTGAGGTTATACTTTATCTTTGATTTTATTTTTTGTTATATTTAAAATAGATTAGTTGTATTTATATTATGTATTTAAAAAAAACAAAAATCACATTTATATATTTTTTTCTTATATATATATTTATATTCATCTTTTATTTCTTACTGAAAAATATACTTTTCATTTTAACCTTCAATTAACATTTTTTCATATATTTTTTAATTTGGTAGTTAATATATTTTTGATTTATCATATTAATACATCGTATTCATTTTTCATTTAACGAAATTTACGATCTCAAAACTATATCTATAGTATTAGTGTCTTCTTTTTTATATATTTGAAATTCACTTGAAATCCTATATTGGCCAGTTTAAGCTTAGTAAAAGAAAGAAGAAAATACCATATATTAAGCTTAGTAAAAGAAAGAAGAAAATATCATATATGATCAATTATATATATATATAAAGGAATTTGATCCCGTACTTCACCATCCGATTCTACAATTTTCCCTCAGAAATTGATACACGAGAGGATGATTCATCAGTTTATGCAAACTACGGTTCTTTTGGAGGGGCAGGCTTGACAAAAGAGAAATCGTCTTCATTTCTTGTTTCTTCCTCCTCGCATTGTGGTACGTTAACTTCAGTTGGGCGAACATCATCATGATCATCATCCACTCTTACGATAAAGCTGGTAGTTGCTGTTGGTGACAATGCCTCAGCTTCTAAATCGGACACGTCTTGATCATCATAAGAGTATGATGACCGGGTTGAGTGCCCGGTTGTTTTGAAACGTTGCAATGTGTGTGAGGAAGAGACGGTAGAAACACTCGGGCTCACATTTCCCAACGTCCGAGGAGGAGTCTTTCCTCCTTTCCCATGCCTCTTCTTCACAGCCATGTGCCACTTCTTAAGCGCCTTGGATGTTTGTTCGTCGAAGACTGATTTCTTCATCCGCGAACCCATCTGAGAGGTGGCCAATGATAAAGATTAGTCTCCAGGAAACCATAGAAAACTTGAGAGAAATAAGCGTCAGGAAACAGAAATAGCGGTGCAGAGTTTATTTACGAATAATGATACAGGTTTTCAGGGGATGAAAGCATTTTAGTTCCACCATCTTTTAAGTTTTGAATGATATTGAAACAAACACCATCGTTTCTAGTAATGGGGACATGATCTCTTGGTTGGCTTGCTTTTCGGAACAAACAAACAATTTGAAATTATAAGTTTCTTTTGTAAGATTTTACTTGATTATGTTTGTACCATCTCAAGCTTCTAAAGATACCAGCGGGAGTTGAAGGTACCTGAGTTACGAGAGCATACAGAGGAAGTGTGATGTAGCTGCACAGAATTAGAGCTCCAACCCTGCAAGGCCATGGAAATTTAGTCTATCAGTTCCACTTAAAATAAAGACTAATGTCCAGAGCATGGTCTTTTTCCATGCTGAAATTAGGTGACTGATAATGATATCGTCTATAACATGTTTGTAATGGATTTATCACTAGAAATGGCCATCTGTTGAAATTACAAAAGCTTACCCCAAAGCAACTTTGGCTATAACAATATCGAAATTGTCATGGAAGCAAGATTTCAACCCGAATGAATACTGCATATGTAAACATACATGTTAAGCAAAGGATGTAAGGAGTAAAGAACAGGAGCAGACAATACATTATTGCACATATCAGAGTTGCTGAAAAGAGTGAATTACCCATATCCACAGGAAATATGTTATCTGGAATGCATTCTGCACTCACCATGAAATAAAGAAAATGGCAGTTAGCATACTTATAGTTAATTACAACGAATAAAGCAAAGAACCTTGATATTCAAAGAATCTTAAGCTAACAATTCCGATGTGATTATAGGTTATGTAAGGTTTAGTATTTGTAGAGGACGCCATACAGTACCTGAAATAAAGCAAAATGGATAAGATGAAGAAGTAACTGAGGTCGACCAAACCAAAAATATTTGTCTGAGCCTTGTACAAGTGGCATCCCTTGGACTACTGCATGTCTGTCCTTGATTTCAAGAGCCATCTTCATCATAATGGCCTGAAGTTTTGTCCCAACTGCTAGGATAATCTGCAAAAATGAATGGTCAGAACAATGATGTTTGCTCTCAATCTGGAAAATTGATCACTGAGAATAGATTTCTTACAATCACGGGTATCATTGAAGCCCAGAACAAAGATTGCCAACCTGAAAGGGACACAGCACATCAACATATTAGACTGTCCTCAAATTCAACTAGTAAGTGCTTTATGATCTAAAAATTTCCAAAGAAGAGGAACTTACCATTAACATTCAGGAGCAAGAAAATAACAAAGGATGCCCACAGAACAGGACTGCAAGAACATCAAAATAAATCAGGATATATAAATACTTGAAATCTTGTGAAAAACCAAAGAAATATAACATGAAGAGAGAGAGAGAGAGAGAGAGAGAGAGAGAGTTGAACCATTACCTTACTCCCACAACTAACTTGAAGTCATCTTCCAATGACCGTTTGAGGTACTTACGGAAGTTAAACTTACTTCCAGGAGCTAAATGGACCTACATAAACATGGCACTGTCAAAAATCAGGATATACCAGGAGCTAAATGGACCTACATAAACATAGCACTGTCAAAAATAAAGTGGCAATCCAGCACTTGAAAAATGGAATCTGTGTCTGAAGACTCACTGTGATAAATCCATTGCGCAATGTCAAGTAGTCAGACCTGCTAACAGACCTAAAAAATTGTTGAAAGAAGCATCCCTGCAATAGATACATACAAATTTAGACCATACAGTGCTACTGAACACACCAAACATATATATATATAAGGAAGAGGAAGAACTTGGTGCTAGTTAAGTGATATATTTCTTACGATGTAAAAGAAGAACGGAATTCTGCTCCAGAAACTGGTGTGTGCTCTCACAAAAGATGTCTCATGAGCAAGCCTGAATCTTGAAGGATCTGTGCATAAGATAATATCCAATTGCGCATACAAACCCAGATAAGCAAATATGATGTTTGGATTTAATGAAGAAAAGTTAAAGCTAGAATATAAATGTGGAATCTAGCCTTTAAGATAAGACAGCATACCATTTGAGAACTCATAATCATGGGACAAAGTCTCCAGCTCCCACCGCTTCCAGGCACGACTCTGAAAAAAGTAACTAATTACTACTTGCTAAGAATTTGAACTGGTACATCACATTGTAGGTCAGGGGAAAGATAGTTTGTCAACTGGCTTGTCTACCTAGATCTAGACATTAAAATTTTTTTCTAGTTTATTCATTACTATAGATCTTATTTTCCAGTAATGCACATAACCAATTCAGGCAATTAGATGCATGTAAATAGCATAGCAAAACAAATGTATTATAAAAAGAACATTTCCATACCTTCAGTCTCCCAAGTGTCATGGTAATAACACTAAATAACACATGAAAAATTGCTAGAAAGAATATGAGGATGTGTAATTGATGTAATCCTTCAACAGATATGAGCTGTTCATACCCCTGCAGGAAAAAATCAGAACGGTTATCAATTTGAGCAAGACATGTTTCAATGTTATTCTCTCATGCGGTAACAAAGAGAAATTTTAGGATCCTACCAGATCAATGTGAGTAAATAAAAGTTAGTACAAAAACTGATCACTCTAAAGCAAGCAACACCGAGAAGATTACAGAAGTATGGCACTAACAAGTGGAATGGTTATCTAGTTACAACACTGGAGTTAATGTTCAAAGGCATGAAGCAATGGTACCTTCAAATATTTTATCAATGGAAAAAAGGATCTTTAGACTTGGATAAACTGCGGTTTCTATTCTCATAACTTATCATGCAGCTCCCTATAAGATGCCTAAATGTTAGATAACATTAAATTTCAATACCAGGAGCTAATATCATTTAGCAGCGAGCAGTTTCTTCTGTTGCTCTAGATTTATTCAAGATCTCACAATAGCATGTATATTGTTTTTAATCAAACTTGGCATGTTCTAAGATCACTAGTTCCAGAAAGCCTATTCAATGTTAGTTCTGCACTATACCCAAAAGCATCAATCATCAATCCCATTAAACACTAGAATGTGTCACTTTGATCATCTTCCCCCCACATTTTCTACCATATTTATCACTCTGTTCCTTCAATGTTAGTTCTGAAATGTCATAGCCTAAGTTGTAAAGGTAATTATCTCAAAATGCATCAAATACCAACCAATTAACTTCTGGAAATCTTATTGCAAGAATCAAAATGCATTTCACGTTACTATCAACATCAGAACAACTCTATTTCATTCCAAAAAACATGTGTCTAATTTGGCATGCCTCATATATGTTTGCTGGCAGTGGGTTTTTCTTCTTCTTTTTGTGGCACTTCTAATCATACAACTAAACTAGGTGGCCTCATGCAAATACATATAGAAGCATCAAATATGATATAACTTAGCTTTGGCATGCCAGCACCTACTCCCCCACCATCCACTATCCAAAAGGAATTATTTAGAAAGCATTCTTTTAGTTGTTTCCAGTAAAATGATGCTTTTAATTGGTTTTCATTCAAACACTTTCCAACCCTTCTTTTATACAAGACTAATACTGATACATTTACAACACACAAAACTTGCATGCTAGCGATGAGAAAATCTTAAATTATCAACCATGAAGAACAAGTTTTGCAGCATATACACTTACATCTTTGCATTTCACTGCACTCTCAGCACCAGCTAGAAATCTACGATCAAACCACAAAAGTGCCCTACGACGTTCCCCTTCGGTGCTGCTACTTTTTTCACTGCCTTCTTTCTTACAAGGCAACATGGTGCCTGCAACATCTTGGGGAACACAGATTTTTGCAATATAACTCTGCCCAAAAGTCAGGAGCAGTGATATGAACCCTAGAATCATCAGCTCTGCAATAATCATTCCAAACTCAGAATTCCCTCATAACAATTCCACTAAAGGAGTGCATAAAAAAGCATTAAGAAAAAAGGTCAAGGCTAAAGGAGAGAATCATGATCATTAGTATTAGTAAATAAAGCCTACTTCTTTACCAGCTTTAACCTTCTCCAAGGCTTCAAACAAAGCTTTCTTATGCTTTTCTGTAAACCACTGAATTGAAAAGAACAAAAGGAAGAAAATCATCGAGTTAGGAATTAAAGACTCAAAAAAAAAATCATAAATTTGACAGAAAGTAAAACAATTATTTTAACCAAGTAAAGTTGACATTAGAAGAAACAAGAATAAACGAAAACAAAAAAAAAAAAATCATTTTTATCATAGCAGTAGTGGGAAAATTGAACAAGATTCAAGCGGCCAGAAAAAAAAAAGGAAAAGAAATACGCACAGTTTTATTCGTGACTTAAGAGTTCTTAATTCTTTTTTAAATAATATAAAACAGACATAGCATTAATGGTTTAAAAGAAGAATTGTCGCGAATTAAAGAAGCAGGAAGAAGGCAAAACAGTAAAAGAACATCAAGTATAACTCAGAAAAATTAAAGAAAAGCATTAAAGACACACAAAAGAAAACTTACTGATCCAACTTTGTGAAGAATTTTTTCCAAGAGAATAGAAATGATGATGATAACAGCACAAACACCAGCAACAGCCCACGTTGGTGTTTGATCAAGCTTCCTCGTTGTATCACTACTCTCACTTGCTGCCCCAACCACTACAACGCCTCCATAAACAGTCCATAAGGACAGGCCTAACAACACTTTCATTTTAAGACCAAAACAGTGGAAAGAGACGTAAATAGAGCGGAGAAACGAGTGAAAAGGCCAGATAAAAACGATGGGCTGTTTTGTCTGAAATGAAAATGAAAGCTTCTGTCAGAACAGAGAGCATATATAGCTAAAGAACCTTGGATCAAGAGAGGTTCAGCGCAGCCAAGGCAGCTCAAACAAACGCTGTTTCATTTACCATGGAGATAGCCAAACAGCTGCTGAGATTATTATATTTTGACTACCTTTTATTGTTGATAACTTGGAATTTTTTTTTTTTTACGGAGCTAAAGACTACCCTGCTTGAGCCGATGGCTGCTGTGCATACATAGTGCACAGCTAGACTCGTCCGAAATACTTTTTGTCCACTTCCACGCAGTTTTTGGACCAGCCTCGGGAGCAATCACTGTGATCTTCTACCTGAAAGAATCAAATCGGCCTAAATAGACCACGACCATGAGTAAAGCGTTTAATGATTCTGTCTTAATAATTAATTAGTTTATCATCTTTGACATTTCAATACATAAAAGAGAAAATCTGAACTATTTGATACAAAATGCCATGTGAATTTTGTTTAGTCGCAGAATATTCCGAAAAAATCAATCTTAAATGATGCAACTTAGTTTAGTGAATAAAGAAAGAGATATATATCATATTTATAAGTTTAGATTTTGGGATAATATCCAAAAAAATTATTAAGTTCATCTAAATATATCAAACAAATACTTGTTTGAAAGGAGATTAACATGCAACTTGACTCAAATTATCTTCTAAGTTGATTATGATTCTAAATTAATTAATTAATTAATTTTTCTCATGGTATATAATAACTCAGCAGCGAGATCTCTTAATATTTTCTTGAAATTCTTCTGGCAATAACCTCATTTGTAGAATTGAGGACAATAATTAATGAACCAGAAAAGCCTGTCTATTGTTTTGACTTATGCTTCTCTGGTTGGTCCACATCTCCTGACACATTATTATTATTATATTTGGTCGGATGGTATCTTGAAGCCTCTGTCCCGTTCAATCTTGCTGCTCGGTCTAATATGCTGGCTCTAACGACGAATGAAGCCTTGTATTCCATTTGAAGCACCTGATATGAATATTTGGAATTGTTCTACTTTTTGTGGTTATAATTTGAAGAAAAAAAGTTTCAGAAAAATATTTTTATTTACTGTTAATTGAATTAAATGTTTTTTATTAAAATTGTTTTTGAAATTGTTTTTATTGAATAAAAAATAATTTAAAAATATTTAGTTAAAATTACATTTTAAAGTGCTATTGATAATAAAATAACTGAAAATTACATGCAATATTCTCATAACTTTAAATTCTATGTGAAGTATGTGATTATAATAAATATAGCAACACAATATTAAGGTATTAGTTAAAAAGAAATAATACTTAGGTATTGTTTGTTTCATAAAAAGTTATTTTTTAAATTTTTTTTATATTTTTTATTATTATAAAAGTTGGTCTATAAAAAAAAATTTCAGTCAAAAATTTTTTTGGTATTATTTCTACAAAAATATTTTTATTTTATTTTGGACAGAAAATACTTTTTAAAAATTAAAAAAATTAAAAAATATCTTGTTATTTATTAATTATATCAAATTTAGTTTTCAATCTTTTGATTGCTATATGTTTTATTTTGAATATTTTTTTTTCAATTGCACTACTTAGAATTTGATTTAATTTGATTTTTATACCAATTTTGATCCTCTTTTTATTATTATTTATTTTTCTCTTATCTTTTTATGAATTTAAAGATTTTATCTATTAGATTTGGTCTCTAATTTTTATTTTTATTTATTTTATTTGAAATAATTTATGAAATTAAATTTTTAATTTTAATTTTATCCTCTTTTATTATTTTTTATCTATTAGATTTATTCTCTATTCTTTTAATTATTATTTTTTATTTTAAAAAATTTATGAAATTAGATTTTTTTGAATTTTATCATTTTTTAACTTTTTTATCTACAGATTTGGTCTTTATCTTTTTAATAAAAATAAAAAAATAAAATATTAATAAGTTATTTTTCATCTCATTCTCCATGACATAGTCAAACACTATAAAGTATTTTTTATTCATTTTTCTTGACACTACTAAATATAAAAAAATAATTCACTTTTCAAAAATTAACTTTCTATAAAAACCACTTTTCAAAAAAATATTATTTTCTGGCAAACAAATAGGACATAAATGTACCATTGCAAAGTTAGTCGAAATAACAATGTAATTATTATTATTATTATTATTATTATTATTTATACATATCCCAAATATAAACTAGGGGTGTTTATGGATATAGTGGTTCAGATTTTGACCCATAATTGTATCCAACTAACTTCTTATATTTTATAAAATATAAATCTGATCCGTTGAACGACCCCTAAAACGCATATATTATGGACGACATAAAAACTATCATAATTTTTACATAAAAATAAAAATAAAAAAACAAAAATCATAGTCAATCATTTTATCAAATAGTTAGAGTGTAATACAATACAAAGATAGAATAACAAGAATAGACTATAAAGTGCTTTTGGATTTATAATTTGACTAAGAAAATAAAAGTTCAATATTGATTCTTGAGATTTTCATTTGTTTTCTCATGATCTCTTGGATAACAATAAAAAAATATTAGAATTGTAAAATACAAATTCACTTCATCGAATCAAACTTCAAAAGAAACAATTATAATTTTTGTGAAAATTGGGGAATAGAGAGAAGGGAAAGAGATTATAAGAATAGGAGGTGGATGCAAGTGTGAAGGTAAAAGAGGAAAGAAATGAAGAGCGAGAGAAGAAAAAACATTATGTATGTGTGTGTGTATCAAGGACTTACGTTACTTACATTGGGTAATATAAATTAGGTCGAGTTGAGCAAGTTTCAAAAATCTCAACTTCAATTTAACTTATGAAATTTATTTATTAGTTTTTTTATCTATTATCATTCGTAATATCCATATTATCTGACTTTAACATGTTAGGTCAAAAAGGTCATTTTTTTAAGCATTCAAGGGTATAAGCATTATTTCACTATGTAAATTAAAAAAGGATGAAAAAAACCCTTAACGAAAGACCTTTTTTTTAGATTTTAAGGGCGAAATAGTATTTTTACTTTACATTTTCAAAGTTCAACGGTAAAATTATCCATGTTCAATATACAAATAACATTTGTATCTTCTAGAAAAAATTATCAATAGCAATAAAAGGTAAAATATTCATTATACTCTTTGAATTCATAATAATTTTTTTCTTTTTAGATTTTTTTAATGATCTTGTTTTGTTTTCATGTACCCAACCACCATCTATTATCCTTTGAGTTGTATTCCATGCACCTTTCAATCATGTATTTTTATCATCTTAATTGTTTTGTTATGCACCTCTTAATCATATATTTTGTCATCTCAGCTATACTATCATTCCACTTTTTTATCATTGTCATTATGACAAAACATGGGAGAAAATCCAGGAGTAAGTCAAAAGCTGGTACCTTTGAATTCAATATAACCATCCTAGCATTGTCACGTATCCATTAGTAATATATATGTTGACAGGCAATTAAGTTGGCTATGAACAATGAACCTCCCCCACATGGTTATTTGTGTTGAAAAAATTATTTTAAAACATAGTTAATAGATATATTTGAAGCTAAATTAAAGAGCAATTTATTTATATTTGTATTAAAATTTTGTTGGAATTTAATCGTCAATATAAATTCTTTAATTTAGAATATTAACACAATTTAAATAAATTATAAATGAATAAAAAATTGATTTTAAAATTTTTTTTGTTTACATATTTTTATGAAACTTAAAACTCTTCGAAAGTTTTATCCCATTTTGAAAATAAACATGTCTGTCTTGTGATTTATTTAGTGGAAAGTTGATAACGGGTAATCAAAATTATTAATGGAGAAATTCCATTAGCTTTTGATTCCTAAAATTCTTTATATAATGGGGTTGTAGAAGAGTATTTGAGGTTGGATAATTTTGCATTGTTTTGATAAAATTTAACACTTTTCTTCACCTTAGCTTTCAATATCTTTTTTTTTTTTGTTTCAAAACTTTATTTTCATTTATATTTTTTTTCTTGATTTTTTTTAGGTTCAAGAAATCATTAAGTAGTGTTTTTTATGGTTTATTGGATCATGTTTAAAAATGCATCTAAACAAGTGATGTTATTAAAATTCTAAAAAGTTTATTGAAAAAAAAAAACAATTACAACAAGTTAGGAGGAGTAATAAAGTTTTGAAAATTAAAAATTGATTCTTAACCACAACAAAGCTTGAATAATTTTAAATTGTTTCAACGAGTAAGGGTTTTCTTTTAATTTGATTGAAATTTATTAAAAATTATATTGCATGATTAATATGCATATTAGAATTTTATTTTAATATTAATTGTAAATTTGATATATACTTAATGTGTAATTTTGAATTTCCATGCACATTTTTTTGACACGATAAAAAGAACACCATGATATAAAAAATTACGTGATTATAAATCAAACATGTATGCTCAGTGGCCTAATTTTTTTTTATTTTTTTTTATGAATTCATGGCCTTCTCTTCAAATTATTTTTATTCAAGAGAGAATCGGGTGTATATAATCCCTGGCCGGCTATATTTTGCCCTGTTGATTTAATTTTCTCCCTTGACAGAGGACTGGGTTAGATGAGCTGAATCACGGTCCACGTCCTTTGGAATCAATCAATCGATCAAGAAAATTCCACACGCATGTGTCCAAATAAAATGGCATAAGTTGACGTTGACCGATGTGTGGGTTCATCCACCACAACAAGCACCATGGTAGGTCCCTGGGGATGTTTTTTGTGTTTATTTATTTTTCTGATCATTTTTTTTTCCTTTCATTTTGGTGTTTATTCATTTCTATTACCATGATAAACCTCTTGATTCCTCCGGATAACTTGTTCAATCACTATTTCTAATCTTTTCTAGAGTCATTAAATTTATATTATTATAAAAAATTTAATTGTATTGCTTGGAATGCATTTAAAATCTTTTTTTCCCTCTTCTCTGCGCTCTTTCTTTACCAATTACAAGGAGAAAGGAGATAAAAAATAAAAAAATATCAAGACTTTAATTACTACAGCATCAATATTTTTAAAAAAAATTTAACATATTAAAAAAATCTTTAATAGCCACTAGAGTGAATTATACAAGTTTCTCGAAAGCAAATAATCCATGCCATCTTCGGGCGGCCGTGCGGCTCCTTTGTCACTTATCATTGGTGATTTTAATTGCTATTTATTTTTTTTATATAAAAAGAGAGGCCTTGGTC